CACTCACCTCAGCCTCCCAAAGTGCTGGGATTACAGGCTGAGCCACCAAGCCCGGCCCAGCAGTGCACTTCAACTTACCCTCTCATCACTAGCCAAAGACAGAACCAGTTTCTCAGAGGTAGCTATTGATCATTGCTCTCCAGCCGCTCCCCAGGTTGTTTTGTGAACAAGTGAACCTAATCAGCCACTCATGACCTTCATGGTGGGCCCTATCAACATGGCACCAATCATGTGACCGGCCCACCCATCTGCCAGCCGTCCATCACCCGACGTCAGTGCTTGTTTACCTGTCCCCTCCACGATGACGTGAAGCAGACCACCACCTGATCACCTTAATGACCTGCCCCCATCAAGGAGAAGGTCTATAAGGCACTCAACTTCAAACAGCAGCCATTGTTTTGTGAAGCCCTGTGCTCTTTGGGCTATGGCCGCCATGCTTTCTTAACTTCGGCCCCCTCCTCTACCTTGGGGAGGTGAAATTCCTCTCTCCCCTGCCTCCTGCTCTCTTATTTACTTTCGAAATAAACGATGTTTCCCAGTCTAACTTCTGTGCAATTCTTTGCATCTTTCATGCAGCACCAGATCACACTCCCCGAGGGTGGGATCTTACCCTGGAGGCCCTGCTGGGATTTTTTGTTTTTTTTTTTCTGAGCCGGAGTCTCACTCTGTCGCCCAGACTGGAGTGCAGTGGCCGCTCCCGGCCACCGCAGCCTCGACCTGCTGGGCCCGGCGATCCTTCCGCCTCAGCCTTCCGAGTAGCTGGAATTACAGACGCGCGCTACCATGCCTGGCTAATTTTTGATTTATTGTAGAGATAAGCTCTAGCCAAGTTGCCCAGGCGGGTCTCGAACCTGCGGGCTCAGGCCATCCACTCACCTCAGCCTCCCAAAGTGCTGGGATTACAGGTTGAGCCACCGAGCCTGGCTTCTGCTGGGATTTTTAACCTAACAGTGATGATGGTGATGGTGGCGGCGATGGTCACTAACATCGACTGAGCATCTACTCGAGAACCACACACCCTGCTACAGTGCTTTATTTGAATTGTCCCAATGTAGTCCTCACAAAAGCCCTCTGAGATAGGCATTGCCATCAAACTGATGTCACAGATGAGGAAATGGAGGTTACCCTCCTTCCCGGGATCACAGGGGTGGGAACTGGCAGAAACAGGATCTACCCAGGCCACTGGACTCTAGAATCCATGCCTTAACCCCTGTGTTCAACTCCCTTGGCCAGGCGTAAATATGGCGCGAGTACACCACTGTTTCTACTGGTCAAGGTCGCCTGCTGGGCGGGGCAGCCAGAGCTCAGACCCTGGGGGTTCAGATACTCCGTCCCAGCCCGACTGGTGGTCTGAGAGACCCTGATGGCAGGGCAGGCGGTCAAACCTGTGAGCTGTAGGATCTGGTCATCAATGTGGGTCACAGCCTCGTCATGCATGACCTGGCCTCCGAGGACAAACTCCAGGCGTCCTTCGTCCAGAAGCTGGCGGACCTTGGTGGAGAGAAAAGAGCCAGGTGACGCCTCCCGAGCGGGGTCTGTGGTGGACATCCCTACAGGACCTCGCGTGGCTTGCATAAAGCTCCTCATTCTTGCGGACTCCGCAAAAGCTAGACACTGTTTGTCTTGGTCCGCACTGTGTCCCCATCACCTAGAAAGCGTGTGGCCCACGGGTGGCATTTGAGATGTATGTTTATAAATACACTTTACTTTTGATATAATTTCAGACTTAAAGAAAAGTTGCAAGAATCACCAAGCACTTCCATGTATCTTTTCCCCAGATTCACTGATCGGTAACATTTTTGACCTATTTGCCTTGACAACTCCCCCGCCTCTAAACCACCCCAAAAGTAAGTTAGCAAGAGCAGGCCCTTGACTGTAACTACGTCAGTATATGTATACACACAGTCGAATACACGCTGTACTTTGGGCTTGTTTTCTGAAGATGCAGTATGGTAGGTCACCCACTCAACAGCTATTAAGTGAGCACCTACTACATACTGGGAGCTGCACAGGCACTGGGTTTCTCCAGTAAACAAAGCAGACAGAGATCCCCGCCTCCAGGGAGCTGTGCATGGAACTTCCCACCCAGGTCTTTACTGGGACCTGCTGGCCACACCTCTCCTAAAGGGGTAGGAGACACTTAAAGAAGCCTGGACTGCCCACCCGACACCTGGGAAAGGGGTATATCAAGTCAGGAATGCCTGGCTCAGAATCCCACCTATGTCTGTCTGTCTGTCTGTCTCTCTTTTTGGTTAAAAAAGTTTATTCTGTTCACACTCTGTACCTAACATCACTAAGTGTGAGGTCTGCTAGTTTCCATCCTTTATAATACTTTTTTGCTTAAGGCTGTTATTTTCTTTTTTTTTTTTTTGAGTTGGAGTCTCACTCTGTCACCTGAACTGGAGTGCAGTGGCCACTCCCAGCCACTGCAGCCTCAACCTGCTGGGCACTGGTGATCCTTCCGCCTCAGCCTTCCAGGTAGCTAGAACTATAGGTGCGTGCTACCATGCCCGACTAATTTTTGATTTACTGTAGAGATGAGGTCTCATCAAGTTGCCCAGGCGGGTCTTGAACCCGCGGGCTCAGGCAATCCACTCACCTCAGCCTCCCAAAGCGCTGGGATGACAGGCTGAGCCACCGAGCCCGGCTAAGGCTGTTATTTTCAACCTCTGACAAGCATGCTTTCTTTTAAAGATGTGGGGTGCAATTCAGGGTTAGGTACACAAACGCTCATTATACAGGTACCCTCGTGTGCCCCTCCCTCCCCTGGCAGTTTCCCTCAATTGCCAATCCCACCCCGCCTCCCCGGGCAGTTTCCACTACCGCCAATCCCCTTCTTATAGTATGGTGATAATTGTTCTAGGGCCGCTGATGAGGGAGAACATATGGAACTCTGTTCTTCATTTCTGGGATAGATCACTGAGTATGATCGACTCCAAATCCATCCGAGGGGCTGCAAAGTCCACATGTTTGTCCTTCCTTATGGCTGCGTAACGCTCCATTGTGTATATGCCCCACCTGTCTCTTATGAGCTGTGTGACATGGGCCAATCACCTGCCCTCTCTGACCCTGAGCCGTCTCTGTAAATTGGGAACAATCGCCACACCTGGCACGTGGCAAGCGGCCATGGGATGCCAGGCTCCTCCTCATACCTTGACAGGCTGTGGGTCTAGGAGCTGCCCTCTGGGGTGGGACCTGGTGGACTCCCTGTGCTGCCCTCTCGGCTCTGCTACCTTGAGCGCGTCGTAGCCTCTCTGAACGTCATGTTCGGTAACTGTTCTGAAGGGAGGAGATTACGGGGAGGAAAGCAAGACCTCCTGAGTAGGGGTCTCGGGGCTCATGTCAGAGGGACTCGACCTCCTGGGCAGGGGAGGTCAGCCCCATTCTGTAGAAGTGGAAGCTGTAGCTCACAGAGGCTGTTATGGTCCACAGTAGTGAGAGCAGAATGAGTCCCAGGCCGCCTCTCGAGGACGCACAGCTGTGTCACCAGAGCTGGTGGTTTTTTCAAGAATGGCCAGAAATCCAGGATTAAAAAACGACCTCTGGCTGGGCTCAGTGGCTCAGCCTGTAATCCCAGCACTTTGGGAGGCTGAGGTCAGTGGATTGCCTGAGTAGACGGGTTTGAGACCCACCTGGTTTGCTTGACAAGACCTCATTTCTACCTAAATCAAAAATTAGCTGGGCATGGTAGCGTGCGCCTGTAGTTCCAGCTACTTGGAAGGCTGAGGCGGAAGGATCGTTGGAGCCCAGCAGGTCAAGGCTGCGGTGGCCGGGAGCGGCCATTGCACTCCAGTCTGGGTGACGGAGTGAGACTCAAACTCAAACTCAAACAAAACCACAAAAAAACGACCTCTCCTGGGCGTTGAGCCCATGACCACAGACCCTGATCTACCCAAGTCCTGGGAACAGCCCAGGGGGATTTCAGTCTCGTGGTTGACGCCCGCATGGCCCGGGCCACGGCCAGAATCGCCCCAGAGTTTTACGCCTAGGAATTCACCGGGCCACCCAACCCGCAGGGGTGGCGGGTGACTGCGTTACCTGGTGTTTTTGCTGGTCTGAGGCGACGCCGTCCCACCACAGCCGGAAAAACTCCTGCTCGACGGCGATGAACCGGCGCTGCTGCCCGCGGGTGAGCTCCTCCACCACGGAGGTGTAGACATTGGCGGCGTATGCCCGCATGCTCTCCTGGGGAGGGGAACGCCGTCACACCAGCCCCAGGCCGCTGAGAACAAGTGTCTCTGGGGCCCCTGCCCCCGGCCGAGCGCATCTGCACGGGGTGGGGTGCTCTTCCCTTCCCACCCGCTGCACATCCACCAGTGGGCACCCACTCTGAGCCAGACACACAGCGTGGGCTGGGACCCAGGACAGCATGGGCTCCCCCTCTCCTGACCCTCCGATGAGACGGTGCTCTCCCAGAGGAGGGAGAAGGGAAAAGAGACAACGACGTCCTCCGTGGGCAGGGGATGCCCCAGCGCTGGGCTCAGCGACAACTTTGCAGAGGGGCTGAGCAGGCTGGGTGCAGAGGTAAGTCCTAGGGGCAAGAGGAAGGGGTCCTGTGCCCACAGGGGCCTGCTGGGCTGAAATGAGTGGGGGGAGCTGATGCTGGTGCTCCCCCACTGTCCCTGGGGTCTGGTCGCCTGCCTCCCCCGAGACTGGGAGCCCCCAGGAATGGCAGAGGCTTCCCGTCCGCGTCTCCAGGGCCCTGCACACAGTGGCGCCCAGAGCACTGGGTGGGGAGTCAGGAGGCATGGGCCTACTCCTGAGAGACCTCGGGCGGGACGCCGACCTCTCTGGGCCTCAGTTTTCTCTTCTGGGAAGTAGCCGTGGCGGGCGTGCTGCCTCCCACCCTCAGGCTGTCTCCACCTCCATGCAGCCGCCTCCCCCAGGGGCTGCCAGGTGCACTCAGGGCTGGATCTGACACTTGGCATCCAATGCTCTTCCTGCTCCACCCGCTCTTTAAAATATTGCTATCAAGCCGGGCTTGGTGGCTCAGCCTGTCATCCCGCACCTTTGGGAGGCTGAGGTGAGTGGATGGCCTGAGCCCGCGGGG